AAGCAAAGGCACTCTTGGTACAGACCCCCTGAGGAGATCAATTTGCTCTCCTCTTGTTGCAGGCTATTCAGCAGGGTTGAATAGAGGACAAAGGGCGGCTTGCAGCAGCAGGAGGTTCAGCAATGTTTTCTAATGGGGTGTAAAGACAAACAAATGACTGGGATAAGGCGTGCTCTTGTCATTTGGGATGAGCCTGTGATTTACACCTGGATTACTCCCCTTGATAAGGGATAATTAGTCTGGGATTTCTGTGATCAGTCCTGATTTATCAAATTTAAGGGATGGTGTCAGGTCATTTCTATAGAAATAACACAAGGATAATCATAATTCCTCAGTTATGGTTTGATGCAATCTAAATTGAAGACAATAACACTTAATTGGTCAGAAATTGTGAGTATTTTAAATAACATAGCAGTATGTTGGACTTTATTATGACAGGAAATAATATTTTATCAAAACAATCAAAATTCTGATCAGGAGAGTTTATTTCTGGATGCATATTTTTCAGATTATGTCCAACAAGGGCTAGTTTAAAGTCTAAATTAAAGTAAAACAGATTGTTATAAATAGAAAATCAATAAAATGTATTTGTATAGCACATTGCAGCAGCAAAATATTTCAAAGCTCTTTACATCATATAAAAATAAGAATAAATGTGCAATAAAATCATTAAAAATATCACTCAAATACTCACTAAACATCAGAATTCTCACACAAAATCATAAACGCATCAACTAGATACACTTGATAAGGGATATGGTCAATGTGTAATAAGATGTTTTGGTTTGAGCAGCTTTTCACCTGGATTTGTTTAATGGACTTCAAATCAAAGGAAGCTCTAAACATATAAAGTAATTTCCATCAATCTTCTGCAAGAGCTTAATCCAAACTGAGTTACCTGGGGTGCTGGTGTCAAAATTTCTTGTAAGGAAAAGATTTATTAGCAGTGCATCCCATTTTATACAAAGAAAAGAAGACGACAAACATTTATTTGTTTGAATAGAATTAAATTGGAAAATGGACTTTAAGGGAACAAGAATTAAACATAAAAACGTAACAGTATACTGCAACTTTTCAATTTATGTTTGCTGGAGGAAACTATTAAATTGCATAATTCAGTGTTCTGAAGTACCATAAATTGAAGAAAAAAAAACAACCCTGAAAAAAAGAGAAAAATCATTACAATCATAAAGATAATAAACACTTTAATTAACTTTAATTGAATAACTGCGTTTGTGAATACCTTTGGCACTGCTATTGAGCGACTTAATGAGAAAATCAAGAAATAAGTGAAGATATAAGGAAGATAGTTACCTCCAGGTTTCTAGATTTCTAAGGATAATTTCAGGCTAAGGAGGGGGAGGGGTTTTTGTCCCAGAGAGAAACATGTGAATCATCAAAGACCTTCACTATAACTGATAATGGAGTCCTTACCCATAGTTAAGCAGTTCATCCCATTTTTTTCCTTACATCTTATAAGGGAATTTAACCAAATATTAGGGAAATCTGTGTATTATACTGAAGTTAGAAATTAACTGAATACTACTGATACAAAAAGGATTTAGCAAATAATTTCAGAGATAAGAAAACATGTATTTGTATTTAATGCCAGACAGCTAGGAAATCATATAGTCATATGACTTTTTAAACAGTAGATGTACATATTTGTTTGCAAGTGTATACCTTTATGATTGAAGACAATATAATACAATACTAATGTTTTAAACTAGACATTTTGAAAAACTGATGAGAAAGGGGCCAGAATGCCTGCTGAAAACATCACACTGAAGGAATTCCAAGATGATCTAAGATGTATTAGCAGGGGCGGATCTAGAAAAATATTTATGGGGTGGCGAGAGGGGGGCAGGAAGTTTTGAGGGGTGGCAACATATGGCATTTGTTTACACTGAATTTAATCACAGTTATCACAGTTCAGTGAGAATAGTATGTACAGTAAGTGTTTCATGTGAAACAGATCATATTAGAAATACATTGTACAATGAGATCTCACCTAATAGGAGATAGAAGAATGATAACACTACTTCTAGAGGGGCATTATCACAGGAAAGGTATTAAGGTAAGACACAGGTGCTGAGTTGCAGATGTATGAGATTGACTGTCAGAGAGGCAGCTTTGCAGCATTTGCACAAGAAGAAACTATAGAAAGAAAAAGTTACCCATCAGAGATCTATGGACTGAGCTGTACTAAAGTGAGCAGAACTACACAGTAGAAATAAATGGGTCAAGGCACCCGAACAAGGTACCAGACATCTATGTAATGTTTACTCTGAACACACATTCACCCCATTTGTTCCTCAGTAACTTGACATACAGCAGTTAAGCAACATGAAAGGGACATTTCATGTATGTAAATATGCTGTAGATAGAGCTGCTGTATCAACAAATCAACAAAAAGGCAGGTACTGTATGTTACCTCCAAAACTCCACAAATCTGAAAAGAAGCAACATAAAAATAAATTTTGCTTCCAATCTGTACAAGTAAAAAACATTTTGTGAGTAGGTTCATACAGATCATTTCTGGATAGTTTCATACTATATATACAAAAAAAGAAACAACAACACTGCTTCATATTAAGCAGGATTCACACCAGTATCACATTTTTAACTTTTAACACTTTTGGTTTTCATTAAAGGAAATATCAGATTTTCTCAGGTGCCAAAACAAAATGTAACAGCTCTGTAAAGGTTCACCAGAGAGCAGAACATAAAGTTAACATGACTATAACAGCTGAATGCAGTGATTTCCACATTGCTCAGCAAAACACTTCACAAATATATTTAGATCCAATGCCTTTTTGCGTTTTGATTTGAGTAAAACCGAACTCATAGATAGAGAAATAACGTTCTGCAACCTGATTTTTATCATCTCAAAATCAGCATTGCAGCTATGCTAGCAACATTGTGCTTTCATTATGATTTCATTTCTCGATAGATACTGTAGTTAATAGGTTTCTACCTGTTTCATCCCGTGTCTCCTCTCCCCATCACCCCTGGCTCCCTCGCTTTGCTGTGCTCGGTTTTCAAAACTAATCAGTCTCAGTCGCTCCCGCATCATCTCGTGCTGCATTCACTGCAGTCCAACATTGTTAATTAGCGGTCGCAATTCTCAAATTATCCATAATTTATAAGCCTCGCCACCCCTACCGCCAACTGGGGTGGCAGCTGGGGGGGCAAGGCTGTCATTTAGGGTGGCAGTTGCCACCCTATGCCACCCCAGTAGATCCGCCTATGTGTATTAGTATAAGTTGTGCTTTACATGTGAAAAAAAGCAAACCTTTGTTTCATGTCTCTACACTAAAGAGTTGTAAAGGTGTTTCATTTTCATTTTAGTGTTTAGAAACATTAACATGATAAAACATAGAGGTAGCAGCTTCATTATCTGGAATTACATTTGTTTAATTGGTACAAAGAGATTGTTTTTTGTTGACAAATAAATCACAAACCTGTCCAGAAACTAATCAATTTACATCCAAAGCCTCCATGCATTTGTAAGAGAGCTAAAGCTTTATGTTTTATCATAAAAGAGAGTCAGCATGCACCAAATTTCAGATAAATAGTTTTGCTGATTTCAGGAAAAAATGGCCTCCAGAGTCCGGAACTTCACTTGACCGAAGCCTTGTGTAGTAAAACAAAAGTGGACCATTTAAAGGAAATATCTTTATTTGGAGAGCTTAAGCAAAGTGAAATTCATTTTTCATTTTTTTTTGGATGCTGAAGCTGAAGTGCTGCAATGAATTGTCAGTTTACAATGCTACAACGGCATAACTTGTGCAATGTATAATGTACAATTACTTATTAATACCATGTGCAATAACCTGTTTCTTTAAATTTGATACCCAGTGCAATAGCTATATATAAATATCCATCTATATAAATACCCATGTAAATACCCGGTGCAATAACCCTGTATAATACTATAAAAAGAAAGGAAAAAAAAAACAAAAAACACTTCATCTGTCATATGTGGACGCACTGTATATACTGTATATACTCCATGCACCTTTTTCTTCCTTTGGCACCTTCTTCTTCTCTTTTTCCCTATTTGAGCGGATGTAACGAGTTAATTTCTCTGCTGTAAGATCAATAAATTCAATCAATCAATCAGTTTAAACATTTTGACACATATAGAATCATGTTAATGCTGATATTTTTATTTCAACCATCCATTCAAACAGGTTTGTTCATCATCCAGATGTTTGTCACATAATCAATGATTTTTTTTATTTTTATTTAACATTAATCTAATTTATTGTGCAGGGTTCAATGCAGATGCTGATGCTTTTGAAAAACCTTTTTTTTTCATATCAGTTTTTTATCATCCACACAAATTGTGCAAAGAAATCATATGAATCTACTGAGATAAAATGGAATATTATATAACCAACACAAATAAAACAGTTTTAAACCCTTATGCACAAAAGAGATGTAGTCCCTTTAATGCACTGCTTTCTATGTAAAACTTTGGTTGTTGTTTTTTTTTGCAGCTCAAATTACCTGAACGCAGTGATTGGCACCTCGGTGCAACCCTAAGTACTATGATAATAACTGGGATAAGTAAAGGTAACTTAAAAGCAGAGAGAAAGGGGTATGTGTAAAAAGAAAATAAAGGAAACGCGCATTTTACGGTGAGAAGAGGAAAAAGAACTCATAGAACGGGTTAACTTTGAGTCATAGCAGACTCCGCCAGAAGTAGAAAAATGAGAAAAAAAAAATTCCTCCGCCACGACAAAACTGAGAACGACTACTTCTTTTTTCTTTTCTTTTCTTTTATTTTTTTCTTTACACCACATATTCCAAGCAAAACATAAGTCATCTCACGTATTTAAAAACGTTTTGAAAGGTACCCTATTCAAATAAAGATCTTGGGTGTAAATACTTTAATTATCTTTTTTTAATCCGAAGAATAGATCCTGTGACTTTGAGCGGAAGGATATGAGTTTTGGAGGCGTGTTGACTTCAGCGTAAAGAGGTGCGAGACTTTCTCAGCGCCGCGACTGCGAGGATGAAGCCAACTCTTTTTGGGGACGATATCTTTTAAACTTTTTTAAAGTAACAGCTAATAGAGCGCATGTAGACAAGTAGTGGTATTATGTAAATAGGCGCTTAAGTTGTTTTTAACCATTTGGATTTAGCGTTAACCCTCATAGTAAGACATTTTTTACCGAGAAGTAACCGTTGAAGGGAGACAGCTCAACTTTTGGGCTGGCTGCCCTATGTGGATTTTACAGAAAATATGGAAAACATACCCGGCTTCTTCTTAGGCACGGTTCTTGTCCTGGGCGTCTTCTTCCCGCCGTTATCTCTAGGTAAGTTTTCTACCTGTCGAAGACATGTTTTGGTGGTAGTTTATAGTTGGTATTAAACACGTTTTGTTGCCTCGGCATCTGTGGGACATGGGGCACGCAAAGCATCTCTCTTTCTCGCTCACCGCCTGTTTGCCTCTTTCTGACTTTATAGTTAGGCGACCTGTGTCGAAAAAAGTTAGTAAATTAAAATCCTCCTAATTTAAGCGAGACCCATTTTGGCGCAACTTTTTTCGTCACGTAAAATCTATAGATTTACCTATACGTTTAACAAAACATCAACTTTTTTTTGTTAAGTTTGGGTTTCAGTTGCTTAAAATGGTTGCCTTTCTCTTAAAACGCTGGAAAGGAATATGATTAGTTCTATTTTATCCATACATTACGGTATTAATCTGAGCAGCGTTGCACCACTGTCCAGATGTTTACATCTAGATGAAAATAATTCAAAATGGACATTTAACCTTCATTAGGCTGCTGTGATGAAGCAGAAAAACTGCCAGAAAGGATGAGGTGGATACTAAATGGGTTTTATGTTGCATACTTTCCAAAGGCATTGGGCTTTTCTGTTCTATCAGCTACCTGGCACGTTTTGAACCAGTTGAAATGTCAAGTGCATATTTTCTCAGTGTGTGGGATAAAAGGGACAGCAAGGGTGAAGTTTAGAGATGCACTGATCAGGCCTTTCCTGGTCTGTTCAAGTTTTTGCTTTTCTTTGAAATCTGACCTTCTGATTAAGGATTTTTGTTTTCTTACTGATTAGGATTGATTTATTATTAAAATGTTTAGGTTCTCTGTTTTTCTTTTTTCATACAACCATTCAGTTATGAATAGCTGTGTAGAGATCAGGTAATATGTGAATATAATAACTCTCTACACACATTTTCTTTTGAATATAGGTTTCTTTTTTGTTGTTGTTTTCTTTAAGGTTTGATAGGCAGCCATATTGGATTGTGAACATGTTGTAGGTGATAAACTTCTTATTTCACAGCTTTAAATTTCCATTTGAAAACATAATCCTGTTGTATTATATGATCAAGCATAGAGGTCAATACAACCAGTATCTATATGTGCAACATCACGCTAGTGAAGGATGCAAAATTATTTAGGCTACTGTATTTCAGGTGATATTTATAAATTTTTTGCTTGCAAATAACAGATATATCCAGTAGAATAAAGTCTCACTGAGCTTGATATTTAGATCAAAATAGATACGGATGTGAAATAATAATGCTTAAATATATGGAAAGGGTTAGGGAAATGATGATGGAAAAGAGGCGTGATGATTAAAAGAAACTGATGTAATCATTTAAATATTAAATGACATCAGAATTGAATATTTTAGTGTTTCGTGTCACCTTTAATAACAAGCTGGAAAAGTAAAGATTTGCAGTTTGTTGGGTCTAAAAACAGAAAAATGTAGAAGATAAAATCTCATCTGTGAAGTTTAATCTTTCTCAGTATTTAGATTTCTGATGACTGTAACCTCATCAATTTTAAAGGGTATTTTACATGTCTGTTCAGAGGTGCTCATCATTTTCCCCCTTCACCATGTTGCATTTTTGGTGATTTTGTATAACTGGGTTTATAGTCTGTTATCTTTTATAGGTTTAATACATGGGAAACATGTTTTCATTGCTTTTCTTCTAAACTATCCAGTAGAAATGGACTTGGCTTGCTGAAGAATGAGTCATTGGGTCTATACAAGGACAATTAAAGGATGCATGGTTTAAACCCGGTAACAATTCAATAAAAAGCATCTGATGTTTGTTTTTATTTATCTCCTCATTATTTGAAAAAGTGCCTAATTACAATAAGAATTAAACTCAAAGCGATTATAACAAAACAGTTTGGTTGCAGATAGAAAATAGCAATACACTACCCAGTGTTTCAGTGTACCCAAATGGTAAAATGTATTTATTATCACAATTTTTTGAAACCATTTAACTTAAATTTGTGTGATGGTTGTTGTTTTTTTCTTCTTCACTTATTCGTGCTGTATTTTTCATGCACTGTAGGTGAATTATGAATGGTGATATCAGACAAAAGAGGAAAAACACAATGTAAAGGGCTGCAGGCTGTGCAAGGAGAAACACTGGAATGCTGTTGGTGTTTGACATTCCTCCCTTCTCTGTTGTTTCCCTCTCCTCCTTTCTCTTAAACACACACACACACATTTCCACTTGGTGCACAAAGGCTTACTTTTCTTTTTTGTTTTTTGCGCTTTTACCTGCTAATGATTGTTTTAGACACTGCAGCATGCCTTTCCATTTTAAAACAGTTGCCTCCTTTAGGTTTTAACCCCTAATGGATCTGCTTTTTTTTTTTTAACTGCAGAAAATTTTTACATGGATCCTTTTTTTTTTTTTTTACATTTAGACAGCTTTAATGATTATTGGAAAGAGAAGATACCTCTATTTAGTTTTAAAGTAGTTACTCAATAAATGCAGCATTTATTTTTTGCTGATGTTGTAAAATTTGTGATGATTCTGCTTTCTTTTTGTCATTGAGGTCATTGCTTTTTGTGTTAAAGTGTCTCTTATATCTGTGCTAAAAAAGATTAATACATGGCCATTAGCTGTAGATAAGAAGCTAGAAATAATTTCCATGCTATTTTACATTTACGCTGCTGTTTTCCTGGTGGAATAACACAACCATAACCATAACAAGCTTTATTATGTTGCTAGTTAAATGGGCTTTGGTAGCCGATCTGTTGTCCAGTGCTCAACACACACAGTGCTTGTAGCTTCCTAAACAGAAGCTAAAAAATCAGTAACCTTAATACATGTGATGGCTGACGGTCCTTTAATTTCAACATCATGACTCTCTTTTGTCATTTTTTTTTCATTTTTTGTTTTAACAATTGAGATATATCAAATGGCTATACTTGTCTTAAAATGTAAAATAGCTATTTTTCAGCAAATTGACTGGCTGTGCACAACAACAGGTTGGGGTGCTGCATCGTACACCCAGACATAAACCTCTCGATCACATTCTCCAACATCTTATTTAAAGCACTTAAAACATTCTATGTTATCTCTAAGAGTTTTTTTTATTATTTTAACCATAACCTCGCTCCTTGATACTGGTAACTTCTGTATGATTTACCTCTCAATGCTACGCATGTTCAGATATATAGTTTTTGACAGTAAAATATTCAGAAAGGCAACATTATTATTGTCTTTGTTGTCTGTGCTACCCAAATGTTACTCATCACTTATATTTGTTGCAAAGGGCATTTGTTCCATAAATGTTGTTAACATTATGACCATGTAAGCTGGTTATGGATGCATGAATGCATGGCATGCAACTCTTAGAGAGTAAGCTAAAACAAAATTTATCTGATTAGTAACCTAAAGTTTTTGACATGTGTTTTAAAGACTCTTACAATCAAACAGTATTAACTTTAAAAAAAACAAATTATGTAAGGAAAGGAGAACCTACAAAAATAGGTATTTTTAGAGATACCTTGCATTTCTACTGTACTCTGAGTAAATTGTACTTGTGTTTTTTCTTTTTTTTTTTCTTTTGTTTTACTTTAACTTATATCATCATCTATTTGTGGTCTTTTCTTTTTTTAGCAATGTTGTCCTGAAGTTTTGATTTGCTTCATGGCTGAGGCAGCAGTGAAGCCAAATGTTTTCAGTGAGATTGCCAAAAAATAAAGCATGAATGTGTAGTTTATGTGCAGTCAGTGATTTGGGGTGAACAATGTGAAAAGATGATAACTTATGTTTTATTTGACCCACTATGTGGTAATGGGGAATGCCTGACTAAAATTTACTGGAAATGACACTGATTCTTTTTGTGACGTTTTTACAAGTCTTTACCTCCTGTTCATTTATATAGAAACTCCCAACTCAAGTCCCTTCCATTTCTCTATTTTTGCTGTTGATGTATGAAGAGCTAAATTGTATTTTCATTTAATGCAATGAGCTAAACCCTGTCCTACTAACTGAATTAAGATGATCTATAAATCATTACATAATTTCCCATGGTACAAACACTGCTGCTTACATATTTCTTAATAAATTGACATTATGCTTTGTATTATCTCAATTTATTATTTCTTTGTGGTTTTTGTCATGCTTTTCATGCATTAGGTTGTTGCATATGATAATTTTCTAGTGCATATTATCGAGAAAATATGCCTGGATTAGATTACGAAGAATTGATAAACTAGAATCACACTTGGAATGCACAGAACTTCGCAAAGTCGCTAATTTCTCAGACATATTGCAGCTTACACCTTAAGTTCATACCTGTATCTACAAAATCTTTCAAAAAATTCTTAGATCCAGGTGGTGATCCGGATCCTTACTAAAATGTTATAATTTGTTGCCAGTCACAATACGCACATTCTCTGAAAATTTCAGAGAAATCTGAAACTTTTTTAGTTATTTTGAAAACAGACAAACTAACGGCAATGAAAACATAACCTCTATGGTGAATGTAACAAAGCATTTTTTTGATGTTCGAGACTGTTCGGAAAAGTAATTGCTCTGAAATTATTGCTGTCAGAATTACCCAATATAAGCAGAGTGGATCCCAGCTTAGTGAGGCAGATGCGAGCAGTTTGACAGATCAGTGGCCCTACAGTGTTCTTCTTCTTGAACGAGCGTAGGTGTCATTGTTGTGCCACACGACCTGGTGCTACTCGCTGGGTGTGGGCATACATATGGCTGCATATTTTACCCCAGTGCGAACAGTAGGCAAACCACCGTGCGTATGTGCATCTGTTTAGGTGTTTGTATGTGCTGCCTTGTGCAAGCCGACAAAGACCAGCAATTGTGCCATCCATGGTTTACTTCCATTTGACCCTTGCTGAAGCGTGGTGTGAAATGTGATTTATCTGCATCAAGCTTTGGCCTGAGTCCTGGAAGACAAAGATTTTTATTGAGCAAGCCCACATAACTGCATTATTTACTGAACTCCAGATTGGACTGACACATTGTGGCTGTTTGAAATGATGTGACTTAGAATATCTTCTTTCGCATATGTTTTAA